ATGTTTGTATGTGTGTGTGTGTGTACATATGCCTATATACATACTCACCCTGGTGGGGTGTACTGATTGTGGGTATATGTGTTTTTTATGTATGTAACAATGCATGTACACACATATACATACATACGAGACTACGTACACCATCTGAGGCTGGAGAGTGCATCGCAGGCTGTGTCGAAGAGCACAGCTGACAGCGAGCTGAAGCAAATGATCGCTCAGTTGATGCGGGACAATGCAGTGCTGAAGAAGCAGCTCGAGGCCAAGGAGGGCACTGCTACGCCGAGCACCAGGGTGCCATCAAAGCGTGGTGCCAATGAGACCGCCGATGGCTTCGATCCGAATGAGCTTGAAGAGGCCATAGATGCCTCTCGTGCCAGCGCTGGCCTTTCCAGCTCTTCGAAAGCAGGCTCGATCGCCTCTGGCACTTCCGGCCCGGACATTGTGGATCAGGACGGCGAGGCCGTGGACCCGGAGCAGGAGCCGGAGGATGAGGAGGCCAAGAACGGCGAGCCTGTTGAGACAGGGGAGAAAGGGCCCAAGGCCGACGATGGCCCGACGAGCACGAGCCACAAGAGGGAGTACATGATGTTGACGAGGAGAATGGAGACGGCCGATGCCGCCAAGTTTCCCGAAGTGTCGGCTCTGTGGAACGCCTCGAGAGCTGTGTCTTTGATCGCAGATCCAGCATGTGTGTGTGTGTGTACTGTGTGTAGTGTGTGTATACTAGGGGGTGGACTCACGGTTTGCTTCTATGCATGAGGAGAAACGAGAGCTCTTCCGCTCTTGGTTGCAGAATGGCAAGAACCTCGACGCGACCGAGAGCGCCCTGGTGATCAGCAAGTCGAAGGCGACTGAGACGTGCCACCAGAAGGAGCTCTTGACCATCGCTGAGATGGTGGCCAAAGGCTTCTCAAAGAAGGGGCCCTAGCACGATCCGAGTGTGCTCTGGTCGAAATATGTTCGGTGTACCTGGCTAAAAAGCTAAGGTACAAGATCGAGAGCTTGGTCAGGAAGGGCAACTGTGTCGTAGACGAGGACGTGCCCGACGATCCGGAGTCGGTTCGGTATTGGTGCAGCACGGGCGGTGTCAACAAGGCGATCGAGAAGGAAAAGCAGAAGGGCTCGATGAAAATCAATGTGAAGTCTGGCCCTGGTTTCGGCGACGCCTTGATGGCCGGGGTGGGCCCAAAACGGTCTTTGACTACTGGGAGCCTGACGGCCCCCGGGACGGAGGAGGCTTTGGCCTTGGTGGGTTCGCTTCACGATGGAGCATCGAATGTGGGAGCTTTGCTTTATTTCCTGTGTGTGTTTGTGTGTGTACACACGTGTGTATGTATACATATGTGCATGCTGTGATGTCCATGTACTTAACCTAGTAAATGTACATCCAACGGCGGGCTTCGGCTGTGGGCAAGGCGAAGGCCAAGGCTGGTTCCAAAAAGCCTACACAACAGCTTCCCAAGACCCCTCAAGAGCTTCAGGACGACATCCGTAACCCTGCTGAGTTCAGAGCTCATCTTCAAGCTTAGGGTTGGGCTTTAGGTTTCAAGGTACCGGTTAAGGTTTAGGGTGCATGGTGCTTCGTACTTAACTAAGCACCCCTCCAAATCGATCTGAATCATAGTCATAGAGTGCTTATCTCCAAGAGATCCTTACAGCCGGATCAATGCATGGTTTGCTCGGGGATTGTGGCTCCTTTCCGAGGCAAGGAGCTGAAGAAGGAGTGCAACGCCTGCAATATCGTCTTCGACTTGCCCAAGACCCTGGGAATGAGAACCATTTTAGAGGCCAAGAAGGCTTCGCTGGAGGAGGCGCTCAGTGTGTCGAGCCCTGAGCTAGATATTCCGTTGACATCATTCACAGTATGTCTAACCGCACTGGGACGATAACAAAAAGCATTCTCAGGCTCAGTGGTGTGAATGACGACGACCTCGAGTCCTATGCACAGGAATGTGCCGATCTGGATACCAGCCTTAATTGTTTTGGCCCCGAATATACGCAAACCTCTTCTCGATTAGAGTAGCCAAGTGAACATAAAATCTTGTATATCGCTATATTGTACCATTATCAATCTGTGCATATGTATATATATATATATCATTATATGTACATATCGATATCTTGCTACATCTAGAGATTAAGTTGGTTGGGCTCTCTAGGTTAACTCGAATATGGTGTGATTCAGGGCCGGGTGTTCTGTATGGGGCCGATTGCAGCCTCCCACGCCCAATTGGAATGTAAGCTTACATATTTTCCTAATCCTAATCCAGAAGCCCAATCGTAACCTTCGTGTCACGCCCTTGGGGTGGCTTCACTCGTACTAGGCCTTAAGCTCGCACTCATCACAATGTGAAACCTTTTGCCTTGGAATCTCAAAAATCACCCCGAAACATTCTCGGTCCCTCGATACAAGTAAGCCTTGAATCTGGCTCCGTATGTTCCAGTGTAACTAAACCTGGTAACCCTAAACCTTTCAGGCACCAAACCCAACCCGAATACAGCACAATTGGGCTCCCTAAAATGAACTCCTTAAATTATTTAGCCCTGCACCCCATGTTCCAAATTCCTGCACTATGCACTGCATGCTGATAGCACCAGTATATTCGAACCAAGCGCTCAACACTCATATCTAGGATAATGTCCCCGCTCCTTTACAGCCCAAGTGCATAACCACGACAGTAGACACCCTGACATATTTAACAGCCCTACTTACTACCTAGCCTAACTTTCGTGTAGTGGTTCAATGCCCAGCTAGGAAAACCCCCTTCAGGCCAAGATCGATCATACCATTCAGTGATCCCCAGAGTCTCTGGAACCCTCAATTCTGATCCGAACGATTACTAAAAAGCCGAGGTGGAGGATGCCAAGATGGTTCGAGTTCAGGCACGAGCAGTCGTGGCCGAGCTTCGGAGGAAGTGATCGATCCAGGATGTCCAGCTGACCTGTGGATGTGGTTTTGAATCGTCCAGCCCTACTCTTAAGCTTGTATGGTTCAAAGGGCTAGTACTATATGCCATACCTTACACAAGGGTCCTTAGGCTTGGACGATTGCAATTCTTCTGGTCAGTGTCTACACGGGATGAACCTGTGTGCCGGGGTACTACGACGCCTGTGATTGTAAGTTCATCAGACGATGTAGCTAGAACAATCCAGGCACTTTTGATTTCGCTAAAAAGTGCCAGCTGCTGTAGGATGCTTGGGCATAGCTAGGCCTTTGCATCGAGCCTGTGTGTGCACTCGATCCTGCTGCTCGTGTGATGAGCTCGTGAAAATAAGAGCGGAATCGAGTGTTGTACAGTGACTTTGGTACTATGTTAAATAGAACCCATCTTCCCAAGTATACTTCCCATCGCAGGTGCTGATGCTTATCTAGCAGAGCAACGGCGAAGACTTGATGATGCGAAACTCATCTGCAACTACAGGTTAAACCCAACCTGACTTCGGCGAATCATTGGCTTATTGCTAGCTACATATTCCAAGGTTGGCTCAATCCATTGGACGTGGCTACTTGTCTGTCCGCCATGCCAGAGGCACTGCTGAAGTTTACGACAGTGAACTGATTTCGCAACTCTGTTGAATTTAGCCCTACTGCTGGCCTTGTAGTGCTCCATGGCGCGGTGTGATAGTGAACCTGCTGAGGTCTGGGAGGGAAGCTGGCCTACATGAGCGGGCTGCTCGAATGCACATCTCTTTGGATGCTGAAATTACACGGATCCGTTTGCCCCTGAAAGCAGCTACTGACGACCCTACTGTGACATGGGACGAGTGGCCCTGCATTCTACCTCATCAGATGGTGTCTGGTTTTAAATAGCGACGAATCTTGGTTTGTTTTATATGGTATACATGCACTGGGTAGAGCCCTGCTGGTAGGTCTTTTTCCAGGTACGTGCAGTGGTTGATGCTGGGTATTTACACAAGCTCGCTGATTTGGCTGCTATTCCGAGCTACTGGAACCATTTCTTACAAGATTACCCTGGCCATCCTATTGAAAATTCCGAGCACCGCGATAGCACCCTCGGCCTCACCTTGTACTGTGCCTTGCCTGAATTCCTTCAACCTAGCCCTGGTAGTTTTAGGTGCACATAATGATAACAACACAATCATCAATAAAGTCCTTTGCTTCAGGCGATGAAGCACAATGTGCCAATGCATCCTGGATGTATGTCACGTGGACGTGCGATATATCCCCCCACTTGACTGACAGCGCCGCTTCCCGTATGCTCATCGCTGTAGTCCCAGCCGATCGGTACATCCTGGATCCCGCCACGGGCATTAACCTCACCCTGCAGACACTGTACTTGCATATTGCCAAGAGCTGCAACAAGCTGTCGCAGGAAGGTGTCAAGATTTCAGACCCTGTAACCCATCAGACGGTTGCTCGACTTGCTACAGCAATGTTATTTGTGCAAATGCATGTACTAATTCTAATAAGAATACTATGTTGGCCTGTCTTCCCGCGATCGTGGGTTGAGGTCATGGATGTGCGAGCATATGTCACTGGGTTCAGGGGCGACTGGAAGGCTCTGAAGCAAACCTTCAATTTTACTCGGTATGCAGATCAGGATGCAGCCACTTTGTTACATTGCTCTAGGACTCCTAAGCGACTATATGGCTATATAACCCAATAAGTCTTCGAGTGTCTCTGCAACTTAATTCTTTACGGTTTAAAGTTTTGGGTTCGGAAGCTTAATGTTATAGGCCAAGCTAGACCACCATCCTTAAGGTATGCTGGATGTGCCTCGCGACGAAGGGCGCTGAAGACATCCAGTACTCGTACACCAATATATCTGCGACAGCACCTTGGATGTCAACCATTGGAACCGTCCCTGCATGGAGGCTTTCGCCAAGCTATACGCTGCTGGATGGTTTTCATGTTGGCTTTATCCAGGCAGACTTGCTTCATGTTTGGCATTTAGGAACCGGAAGGGACCTAATCGGATCGGCTTTGGTATTCATGGTCAAGGCTGGGCTGTGCTTTAATGGTGCGACACAGGATATTCGGCTCAAGAATGCCACTGAAAGGCTGAGATCATATACCAAAAGGATGCGGCTTCCACTTAAGCTCAAAAAACTTTCGAAGAGCAAGTTGAACTGGAAGGCAAGGTGTATGCCCGAGCTTCGTTCCGGAGGTTACGACACCTATGTAGTTGGGCGATGGTTGGTGGACGATGTGCTTTGGAATCACAGTGCCGAGCTCCCAGCAGACCTCTGCACTGCCCTTTGGTCGTCCAATCAGTTTCTTTCGATCATGGCCAATGGTGGCCGGTGGCTGCTTAGAGATGAACAGAACAACAAAGAGATATTCGGAGCCTTGTTTATGCAGTCATACATTCGATTGGCCCGGCAAAGCATTGCAGACCGAAGCCGGCTCTACAGGATGAGGCCTAAGCTTCACATTTTGCATCACATTCTGATGTTTTCACCGCCTTCCCGGCTGAACAACCATGCTTATGCAACCTGGATGGACGAGGATTTCTTGCGTAAGGCCATGAAGGTTCACGCTAACACAGATCCGCGAGGAGCCTCCTTACGTGTGTTGCAGCGGTATCTCTTAGGGCTCCCCAAAACCTGGGACAATTTGCGGTAACTTGCGCGTGCCAGCAAAAGCCGTACTGCAGTCCGAAGGGCGGGACCGTGTCCAGCAGCATTTGCAGGAATTCCCAGCCAGGTCGTCGTCGATCAATATACATATATATATATATATACATATATGTTCGGGTGTATTTCTATATGTATGTATACATATATATATATATATACATATATATATATATATAGACTAGGGTTAATAAGTGTTATTTAAGTCCTTAATTTACGGAGCCCCCCAAACCTTAGACCTTAAGCTTTGTTCCTGCAGGTGCTTGCTGCTTAAGCTTGGGACTTCAGAGCTCTGAATTCATAAGCTTCTGCTGGTGCTTCGGTGGCTTGTTGTGGTTTGAGACTTTGGACTTAAGTAAGCCCTACCCTAAGAACAATTAGCCCCAAACCTTAACCATAGATCGAGCTGCAGTTTGTGTAGCTGAGGCCAGAGGATAAGCCCTGCCACGAATAACTAAACACTCAGCCAGTTCAGGGAATTCAGTCATTTATAATCCTTGGTTTCGAGTCGAGATGCATCTTCGAAGTCTAAACCTGGGAATCGGCAATCGACAATAGGATTCAGAAACGAAGCCAACCGAAACCCAGAACCCAAATCCTTAAACCTTAATCCCTAAACGTGTTTTTTGAAGGCTCTTGTTTTGTTCAAGAACAACTTTGGCTCAAACTTTGGCACATGATGCTGGAGTTAATGCTCTTGATGCACCTGATAGCTCATGATTCTCGCACACAGAGGGGGGGCGTGAAAACGGTATGGCCGTGAAAAGGCGGTCTGGCCATGAAAAGTTTTTTTCGTGGCCGCTAGTGGTATGACCGCAATAACCGTGGTCAAACAGACTCCCAGGTTTAAGGGGTCTCTAAGGGTTTCGGTTTCAATATAAGAGTTTAGGATAGTTTTAGGTTTTCGGGCTTGCATGGGGTTTGAGCTTAGGGCCCGGGACTTGGGATTTTGAGGTCTGGGGCTTCGGATAAACTACAGGCTCTCCCAGACCCTCAATCATTTCCAATCCTGCTTCCCTCGAACCCACAGCTAGTGAACCCGAAGCCATCGCACGCTCAGGACACAGCTGCGAATGTTGTGCGGTGCGCGAAAGCGCTTGAGGAGGAGGCTCCTTTGCTGCTAGAATGTATTCGGGAAATCTCGATCGTCAACCTGCCGAAAGCTGAGAGCAGACTTCACCCTCTAATCCGTGGCTGGGGTTTGGCAATTCCACTCGATCTGTATATCTTCATGAGAGGACTGCTGGCTGTGCCTATGATTAGGCCGAGCCAGTGGTTTGAGTATCTGCTTTGTAGAAAATCTTCGATTCTTTTGGGTGGATTTGAAACGCAGCATCCGGCAACACCGGGATTCCTTCGATCTTTCTGGGAAGCTTATAGAGGTGAGGAACCCCAGCACCGGGTTTTTCAAGACCACGCGAACGACCTTGACAAGTGTGTGCCGTACTGCCTTTTCAATGACGAAGGGAGGGGTCACAGAAAAAAACCCCTCCAAGTAGTGGCCTTGGAAACTGTATTTTCTGTGTCGAGCTTCGAGAAGTTCGAGATGCTGAAGGCGCATCCCTCTACATGGACTTCGACGATGTTTCAAGGAATCCAGCAGCACACGGTGAAGGGGTCATCTTACACATCGCGCATCCTGCTCTACGTGCTCCCCCACAACCTTTATAAAGGGAAGAAGAACAGGCTCTGGGATCTTGTCATGGACACTGTGACGCGAGATATGGAGCAGCTTTTTCATCGTGGTGTGCAAGTGGATGGAGCCACCTTTTACCCCGTGCTCATCGCCGCAAAGGGTGATTCACCCGCACTGATTAAGCTTTTCAAGCTGGGCCGCTCTTTTACTCGTTGGGAGGGCAAGGCAGGGGTCTGTCCGTACTGTTTAGCAGGCCAACCAGGGATTCCCTGGGAAGACCTCACAAAAACAGCAGCGTGGCGGTCTACCCGGTACACTACAAGGCCATGGTCCCGGCAACACCCACCCAGCATTGCATCTGTGCCGTTTTCAGATGTTCCAGAGAGGTGCATAAGGCCAGACCTCATGCACATGGTGAAGTTGGGGATCGGGCGGCATTTTCTAGCCTCGGCCATTGTTTGCTTGGGGGAGTGGAGCATCTTTGATGACGGGAACAAGATTCTCAGTGTGGAAGGTCTACTCGACACTGTACATCAAGACTTCGAGTACTGCTGTAAGCATGAACTCAAGCAGACCGCCAACTTGAAGCAGTTCACAAAGGACCTGCTGCACTGGCCACGACGGTCATCCTACCCATGGGGCGGATTCTTGTCCAGTTAGCTTTCGTTCCATCATGAAGTAATGCCACCCCTCACTCAAGGAAACATACTGTTCTACAATCAAAATAATTCCGATTCGTTTTTGCATCCTCTAGCATTCTAGCCATGGTGTTTTCGAAGCACTGAGTTGCATTGCCGAGGATGGAAGGCCTCTGATACGATGATTCTCCTTCGCTGGCTGTTGAAGCTAGTCACGACTGGCCCTGTTCTACGTGATGCTTCAGGCCGCACTGGGGTTTCCTTGCAGGCGCATTTTGCCGCCGATGCCACCAAACAGTTGGTCTGCTGTGCATTGCAAGATGGCGCTTCGGCTCTTCTGCGCATGTTTCAGATTCTTTACAAGACTGATGTTTGGTTGGATAGAGAGGCCGCTACAGCTGTAGCTGATGCCATTGATCTCTTTGCCAATGTGTATTGCTGTCTCGCGGGCATCTTTCATCGAGAAGTGAAGCAGTCAAGGTTCCACATGGAGCCCACGCTCCATCATTTTGCACATGTGTCTGAGCGTATGCGAGAAGTGTTGGCGACTGGTGCTAACAAAGTTTTGTCCCCTGCATGTTTTCTGTGCGAGCAATCGGAGGACTTCGTCGGCCGCATAAGCCGGCTGGCGAGACGATGCGCTGCCCGCACATGCGGGCAGCGAACCCTACAGCGCTATTTGATCAAGGTCTGTTTGGAGTGGGAACGCGCGTGAAATGATTCCTAGGTCCTAGTGTGGGTGCACTCTGTTTTCAAGAAACCCTCAAGATTACATCCCCAGCTCACCGTTAATGCTGAAATGGCTCTGCCATTGACTCCTCCACGCTGTGGTCGCCACAGCAGCACGCCCAGGCAACCATTTTACAGGGGCTTGGTAGTCTGTTGAACTTAGAGGTTCGATTTAGATTCGGATGAGGTGGGAAGGTCTGAATCACTTCGGGAGTCCATGACGAGGTCCATTCTTGTTCAAGTACAACATGCAGTGCATGTGAGGTCTGATTCATCTTGATCAATAAGCACATTTCTGATATGGCACATTTATGGTATCAGGTCCATTTCGGGAACTGCTTCTGGGCAGCCCAAAAAAACAGCACCAAAAGGAAGTCCAGGTATGGCTTAATTAGGCGGGTATTTGTGTTTAATTTTGAGGGCTCTTTTCCGCCTACACACCGGCACGGCCGACGGAAGCCTACGTACCTAGACGCGAGCTAAATCGGCTCCCTCGTTTACCTCCGCTTATAGGAAGAGAAAACGCGATCAAAAGTCGACCCCGGCCATCGCAGAGTTTAGGGTCTAGGGTGAAGGGACTTCAGTCTTCGCAACTTCTGGGATGGCAACGACCCATACTATATGGGCAGGGAGGTGGGCTTTGCAGTCTTGAAGGTTCCTTTTCTTGGGGGATTTGGAGTTTCTTCATGTCGGGAGTCTGGATTATGGGGATCAATGCACAAAGATGCAGGACGTGCCGTAGCCTTCACCTAGACTCAAGTGTTTTCGGCGTCTCAAAACACAATCTGCCTGGTTGGTGGTAGAACCCAAGCTAGGAGATTCAAACAGCTTCGGCAAACAAAAAGCGGTCGCCGAACGCTGCTAAACCGTAGAATCCCATGCGGCCATAGCATGGGATGTGTTGTTTTCGAAAACTGGGCATGATATTGGTTTTGCGACTTGGGTTTCCTGTTTAGGATAGTCTTCGTCTGGCTTATAGCGGATCTGTGATGGCAAGCAAACCCATGAAGATGCCAAAGAAGGACCCTGATGCCTGCGGGACCTTGATTGCCCACAACCCCTGCACACTGAAGCCTCGTAGTGCCAGACAGAGGCCTCATGAAGCATGCAAGGCCTTGGGGCATAACATCGAAAACACGCAACGAATCTGCCAACGAAACTGCCCAGACCCTCAGAAGGTTAAAGAACAATGGCGTGATAAAGATTAAACTAACATCCTCAACATCCCAACGTCCGAACGCGACTAGAACCTAGCGCGACAGGTCATCTCTCTTGCGCAAAATAGCCGTGGAATATCACAAATGGCGCACGCGAATTCAGAGAAGGATAGATGGATAGGTAGATAGATAGACAGATAGATAGATGGATAGATAGATAGATAGATAGATAGGCAGATAGATGGAAGGTAGTTGCGTAGGTAGATAGGTCGGTAGGAAGATGGATGGATAGATAGATAGATAGATAGATAGATAGATTAGGAAGATAGATAGGTAGATAGATAGATAAATAGATAAGCAGACATATCGACTGATAGACCGATAGATAGGTAGATCGATGGATAGAATGATCAACAGATACATCTAGATTTGTAATACAGGTCGGTAGGCAGGCAAGTAAATATATACATCCATGTTTATATTAAACTATTCAAGATGTAGCAGACCTCTGTACCGAACATCCTCGTCTGAGACCACGCATCTCTTGCTAGTGTCCACAGGAGCCTTACACACCAGAAGTAAAAGCCGTCCAAACCTGCCCCTTAGACATCAAACCTACATACTATTGGGGGCTGTCTTACACATTCTTACGTAGCGTTGGTGCTATGAAGAACAGGGCCCCCTTAAACCCCAAGCCCGAAGAGCCCTAAACCCTAAACCCTAAACCCCAAATCTAAAAACCAAATCTTAAGCCCTGTCAATTTCATCCAAATCTTAAGCCCCGTAGATTTTCTGAAGTGCGGCGAGTTGCTCTAAGGGCCGCCTGGTGGACCTCTTCCTTGGGCCCCTCGGTGACCTCGCTGGGATCTTGTTACAAACTAGGCAGGCCTTGGGGATATTCGTTATTTACGCTTTTTAGGGTTTAGGGTTCGGGTTAGGGTTTGGGGTTTTGGGGTTTATTCTTCAGAGGCTTTCCAAAACGAGGGTTCAGGGCTCCCATGATATTAGATATATGCCTTAGGGTTTGGTTACTATAAGAGGGTTCCCATGATATAGGGTGTGGGGGTGTTCCATGAGGGTTTTGAGGTTTTGATTTTACTACCATGAACAGAAGGTGTGCATTTTGCTGAGGCCACCTTCACGCAAACTCCAAGATTGTGAACCCTGAGCCTCCGATGAAGCTCGCAGTTCAATCAGCAGAGCACCCAACTCCCGAAAGCCTCCGGGTTGCTGCGTTCCCTGGCTCAAAACACGGTAACCGTTTTAAGTAAGACACTGCTATGCAAATTAGCCTCGAATGATTTAAGGTATGATGCAGTTACATCACGTTGTCAAGTGAGCATTTCGGGCCCTTAAACACCAACCAGGTCTGCAAGCGGCGTCAAACAAAAGGCTGAACGATGCCAAGAAGCTTTCGGCAGGAGACCCCAAACACAACACCCTAAACCCCCAAGCCCAAAATCTCAAGCCCCTAATCCCAGATCTGAAACCCCAATCCCTAAACCCTAAACCCTAAACCCTAATCCTAGATCTGAAACCCCAATCTCCCCCCCCGCTGCCTTCACAGTCTCTCCAACCTCGAGCATCCGCACGACGTCGGAGTTCGAGGTAATTGTCTTTTGAAGCTTTGCCTTGGACGGTTTAGGGTTTAGGGTTTAGGGAGTTTTGACAAGGTTAGGCTTCAATGGTTTAGGGTTTAGGGTAACTGGGTTTCGTGCAAGTTCTACTAGAACTTCTATGGCGGTTTTGTTTTACGGGTCCTATAAGAGTTCCATAGGAGTGCAGAGGTTAGGTTGCGATATTGACGTTAGGAAGTTCGCAAGTAGGTTCATAAAGCGTAGCTTCATGCAATTTTTGAGGGTTTATACGCTGATGATGTCTCGCAGGTAAGAATACGATGCAAGTAGTACCAACTAGAATCTGGAAACACCTTAGCCGGTCCTAAACCCACGGCTGCAGGGTTTGCTCAGCTGGAGTATTCTGTTGTTCAGGTGAAATGTAAGCAAACGCCTGACTAGTTTCAGTTTTGGTGTTAAAAAGGGATGCTACTACTTGTGCTAACTTTCAGACATCTAGAACGGCATGGGGTAGGGAGGCGGGAGCTGTCTTCTGCAGAAGACCGAAGAACGGTTTATAATACCCATCCGGAGTGAAAAGTACTCACACCTACGGTGGCCGTCCTAACCATCGACTTTGTCTACATGCATGCCAAACACTACGCCACAAGCCACAGCCGCAATCCCCAAGACCCACTAGGCTTGGGGAGATTTACATATTCATTTAGTCCTAATTACCACTACTCTCATAAATCCGACTCTAGATGCACTGCTAGGTAGTGTGGTATCTTCGAATTTGTTTCTGATATAAGGGCCTTCAAAATTAGAAAAGGCTTTTGGGGCCAATTATACTAGACCCCCCCCCAATAACTAGTGTTTGTAATTATATCTAGGCCCTTCCCGAACATGTTTTGGCAAAGAGCTGAAGCCTCAGAGTTAGGAGCTTGGGGTTCGACGAGGCTTGGTTTCCTATTCCCTGACCAGTGTCCTATACCCTATAGCAATAGAACTGTAGTGTGGTATAGTATAGCATAGTGTAGTGTAGTATAGTATAGTGTAGTGTAGTATAGTATTGCATAGTGTAGTATAGCATAGTATAGTGTAGTATAGCATAGTATACTGTAGTAAGCAGGCAACTAACCAGCAGCCCAAAAGGTTCGAAGCCTTAAAGCCCATCGCGCCTGCACGAACCCCAACATATAATCAGCCCTAAACACTACCGGGGCTCCCACTTCCTTCACAACTGCATAGTGTGCCTTGCTCGCCTGAGCAGAGAGGGCTTTGTCAGTGAGAATCCAAATTGGGTAGCTGTCAAAATCATGGATCCTTTTGGGGGTACCCTAAATAATAGGTGCCGTATTATGATAAGGACCCAAAGAGGGACCATCATGTTGACAACCACCCAGATGGGGATGGAAGCAGCTTGTAAACAAGACAACCCAATGTGGGCGCCTACTACCTCATGTGGAACAAGTTACTACAAGCCCATAAGCCTACACTGCAAACCTCGAACTCCATGACCACCCTAAACTCCAAGCCTCAAAATCCCGAACACCTAAACCCTAAACCCCTAAACCCTAAACCCTACTCAAGGGCCTTGCAAAGCATAGGGAGCTTCAACAACCTGCTTGTCCAGCATCCCAGTCGGAACTAAAGGGTTTAGGTTTAGGGATTGGTGCGATTTTATCGGCGATACGGTGCCCCCCCAAGAAGGTTAAAGGATAGCTACTCTACTTTGTGGGATTGTACCCGGGATATGGTACCCCCAAGAAGGTTAAAGGATAGCTACACTACCAGGGCAAGGACCAAAAGGGGTCTCCAGAAGCGGTGGCTCAACATCAGCGATCGAAGTCTGGTATTGTAATTACACCTTTCACTATCCTGCGTAGGGAGTGTTTAGGATTTTAGGGTCTGGGGTTTAGGGTCGATCCCGATATGAAGCCTCCTGGAAGAGAATGTGTTTGTGGCTCTTCAATTACAAACCGTCTTGCCTGAACCCTCAAACTTCCTAGCCACAACAACGACACCAAGTAGTGCATCAGCATATCACACTGTACATAGCCCAAGAGAAGTCCAGGAGCCAACTTATACGCAAGGCCTCTACACCCCTCAAGTTGCGAACCGCAGGCCCCAAAGTCCTAAACCGACCACGGTTTAGGGTTTAGGGCTTTGGGTTTAATATAGGATTTATAGGGCAAGGCCCCGAGACCTAGAACTCTGAACACCTGAAAATCCTGAAAGCCCCGAAGACCGAAATCCTAACAAGTCACACG